TGCAAACACATACCAGCTTCATCACTGTGTCTGTCACGCGCGTCTGTTCCCCTTTCGGGCTCTGTCTTTACATTTATTTTGAAAGATGAAGATCGCGATTATGGTAAGGCGCGTTACATTTCCGACGAGTGCTTGCGGTGTTCGGCCAATCACAATGCACTGGGTCAGCTGGCCAATCAGAGCAGACTGCACTTGTCGGAAGGAGGGACTTTGTAGAAAACGAAGCGTTTGAGAGAGGCGGGGCATAGAGGACCTACAATAATGTACAGTATTTGAAAAATAATTTTTAATTTAATTTAATGTAATTTTTTGAACATTAAAGCATGTCAACATATTCTGTTACACCAAATACACAAAATAATGATCTTTATAAAAGCATCATATGACCCCTTTAAGTTTAATAAGGTTTTTTGTAATTCTACAAATGCGAGGAAGATTTCTCATAAGTTTTCTCTCGTTTTATATAAATTTGTGTAAAATTAAACAAATTCATCCAACTCTGTTCCCAGTACGAAAAGAAAAATAATAAAATATTTTAGTACATTTATCAATGACTACAAAGTAGCCCTAAACTAACCGGCTTCTTCTGAGTGTCATAATTTTCTCCTGATTCTTCAAGTGTCATAATCAGCATCCAAACTTGAGATGATATAACATTATTTGTGATATATATTCATTTTGTGAATGTCTCTTTAAATGTTATGATTGACTTCGGTGTTTCAGTTTGGTACGTTTAGTTTGAGCTGAAGTAAACAAATAACACAAGTCATTCTTTACCTTCTTACAAATCTTCAGGTACATGTCAGGGCAGGACTGTCTCTCATTTGGCCTAAATATTATCTAGAAGAGATAAAAGAGGCTTTTGTTGTAACAAAGTAACAAACGTCGTTGAAATACGAAAATGCGTCAAATCACTAAGCGCTGATGATCACAGTTTCGCGCCAAATTGACCTCACACGCAACGTCTCCTGTGTTCTGAATATACAATTCACACAATATCATTATAACGAAATTATATTAGCACTGAATATTACTTCACATAAATCAGGATTAATGTATTTTTTATTGCTATCGATTATAGTTTTTACCTGAATAAAATAAAAAGCGTTGGCAAATAATAGCCTACTAATACTAATAAAACATAAATGCAACTTGATCTTAATAACACACATTTGGTCTTACCTTAACGTTAATGTACATGTACAGTAATGAGGTTTTCAAGGCTGGATCTGGGTAATAGATTACTGTATGCAGCGAATCCACATTTTAAAATAAATCGCATTTTCTGCCTTCAGTCATTCCATTCATTCCTTTCTGTTTAGCAAACAAGTCTTTGGTTAATCTCGTGATAAAGTGACTGTTCTGCATCTTGCCATCAGTGACCTTATTTCTTTCTAAAGTGGGTCATTGGGTGCACAGCTCTGGCAGAAATCTAATACAATAAAACTGTTCCTAGAAAGCCTATTCCTGCTTTCAGGTTTTAAAGATGGCTTCTTAGAATTGTTAAAATGTATTGTACCATGATGTCTAGGAGAGCTATGAAAAGACAAAAACTGCATCAAACAGGAATTTACAGCAGTGCAATAACATAGTGGGTGTGGTCAAACGTGAAGGCGTGGTCACGTTCATACACCCCTCCCCCAAGTCACTCGCTTGTGAATCAGTGCATTAAAGAGAGAATTGTGCATTTACAGTCAGCTTTGTTTAATAGCCTTGAAAGTCATATGCGCTGAACAAGCTGCTCTGATTAAAAAAAAAAAAAAAAAAATTACAAAAAAAAAAAAAATCACACTTTTTGACAAACATAAGAGTGTAAGTATGTACAATGGTAATGCTGAGTGCATCCATTCAGGAATTTTCCACCAGTGTGAATGCTAAACTTTCAGTTCTAGTTGATGCTTGGCATCAAAGCCCACTTGAAGCCATCCTGAAAAAATGCAACACAGCATTCACTCTGCACATTATACTACGAATGTACAGCAATTGACTCTGAAAGACTCAGTATAGTACTGTTCTTACCAGTTTTCTTTGGGGAAAGCAGTAGTGTTTGTGCCTTTTTACTCAATACCTGGGGTTTTCTGTATCTATGAAACTTTTTATGGTAAACCAAACTCAGGAAGAGTCTAAAAAGGATTCAGGTGCAGTCCATGGGGAAAACATACTCCGTTCTCTTTGGGATACCCAAGGTAGTACAGCAGTTTCATTCAATGCGAAGTTCAATAAAGATTAGGAACATTTTAAAAAATATGTATCTGGCATAAAAGAGCCATAAATAAAACTTTATTCTCTCAATTTATTAACAAGCCACAGTGTGTCCCATGGCTGCCAACCACAGCACTTAAAACTTGCGTTAAAGTCCCAGTTGTCAGGTCTGCAGACCCGTCCGAGAGCCTCCAGCTTTTTGAATCACCGTCCATAAAAAAAACAAAATTAAACAAAACAATGCTGTAACACTAGCAAACTGAGGGCACCACGGCAGGTTGATCCGCTTCTTATGTGAAGAGGGACGACGAGGGAAAACAAAACAAAATATTGAAATGAATCCTCAACCTCGTTTCACAAAGCTAAAGCTGCATGCGCCAATGTCTAAAACACCACCATGATGCCACTATTTTCTTTGAAGTTCACTCGAAAAAAAAAAACCCATCACCATCATTTCTTTACCCTCAAGTAGTTTAGAGCCCATATGATTTTCTTCTTTCCAACCACGGCTGTCCCTGGTTCCAACAACTTGAACATCCTGCTAGACATCTCCTTTTCATATGGATTTGGAACAACATAAGGTGAATAAATGATGACTAAACTTTTATTGTGGGGTGAACTATCCTTCTAATGCTTCTTCTTCGTCTCTGCACAGTTTCACACTGTTCTTACTGTTGCATTAGCTTTAAAATATAACAGAATCCTCCAAATAATATTAATAATACCGATAAGGATAAAGATAAAATCTCTAGCAGCAAAAGAGAAAGGAAAGGTAGGTAGGTTTGGGAAACCCCTGCTTTAAGGAAGGCGTGTGTTAGCGGAGGGGAGATAAAGTCTGAGCAGCTCATCTTCCATCTGCTGGGGTTCGACTCAGGGTGAGTGATGTCATGACCTGGCCGTAACGCTCACACAGCTCCAGCGTGGAGTATGAAGGTAGTTTGGGAGGGTCATGAAAGCTTTTGATCTCAGTTGAGCAGTCGAGCAGCTTGGGCAGGAAGTCGGTCAGCTTCTCCTGGAGATTAGCTGGAGAAGAAAAGGACACAAGTTTGACTTGTTATCTGTATCTGTAAAGTGGACTTACTGGGGGTGGGGGGTGGGGGGGGATGTGAATCTATCTTCTACCAATTTGAATTGTTTCAAAAAAATAAAAAAAATCAATTATCTAAATGTTAGCTAATAACGGAATGTTGTTGGAACAAAGAAGGTGGAAGTAAATTGCGAGAGCAGTGCAGCACCCGGAAAGTTCAGAAAGTAAACACCTCACAATGTGTCACTCACTCACAAAAAACAAACAAAAACGTGATGTAGCTTATTCCAATCAAAGCCACAGAAGAACTGTTGCAACACGCAACGGTATTTAATTCCTGAATCAATCTGTGAAGGAATTTTGTGATTCAATGACCCATTCATAAAGTGGCTGTGACTGAAATCGCATACTCTCTGAGTAGGTACTTCTTCTGAATAAGTAATTACTTTGTAACTGTTAAAATAAAGTACTATATAGTAGGGATGTAACGATTCACTCAACTCACGATTTGAATCACGATTTTATTTTATTTTTTACAAAATGAGATTTAAGACAAATTATAAATTAAATGTGTCCTTTTATTATTGCTTGGACAAAATGCTGCACATTTCTTTGTGAAAATTGAAATATAACACTATAATAATATACTAATATAGCACTTGCATATTATTGCTTTTTTGTTGGTTTTGATTGCTTCTATTGTCCTCATTTGTAACGTTATACAGAGGCAAGATGAAAAGAAAAAATACCATCTAAACACAGTAAGACAGTAAGTTCTTACTGTAAGACAGTAAGTTCCCCTCAATGGAAGACATGGATTCATATAAACTCCTACCCCTAAATGAATCGCGATTTGTTTAGCATCTCAACTGATTTGAATCGTCACATATTTGAATCGTGGTTGATCGTTACATCCCTACTATATAGTTTGAAAGTACTACGTTCGTCATGTTGTCATTGTCATGTGACCTACTATAGTCAGTTATGTTGCTGCACTGCTATTCAGAAAATCCTCTCCCGTGGCCTCATGGGATAGTAAAGTGTCCATTGAATGCTCACTACTGAATCTCGGTGGAAGTGGCAAGTCATCCGGGTAGGAGGGTTGCCTACTCTTTTATGAATACTGTAAATTCGGACATACAGTGGGTATAGAAAAGAATCACTCCCTTTAAAATAATCACATTTTGTTGCTTTGCAAAAATAAAAATAAAAACTTTTTTTTTTTAATGTAAAAAACGAATCACTGAGTTGGAAAAAGGATCACCCGCCTCCTAAAAATGACTTAACTTAAACTCAATCAGGTGTAGCTAATCCCCTTCTCAGTGGCACACAAAGCCATTTGACTTTCAACTGTGATCTTCTGTGGTCATTATGATTAGCTCAGCATGAAAAGAGCTCTCTTGGAGCATTTCAGTCCTTGGTAGTGCAACTGAAGCAAACAATCAACTATGGGTGGCAAGGCACTGTCACAAGTCAAGAGAAGGATACAAAAAAATGTCAAAGGCTTTATCAATGCCTAGAAGCACAGTGAAGTCTATTATTAAGAAGTGGAAGGTATTTGGTACAACACAGACCCTCCCTGGATCAGGACGTCACTCCAAACTGGATGAAAGAGCAGGAGGAAACTGGCCAGAGAGGCAACCAATTGAGGCCTACAGCAACTCTGAAGCAGCTGCAGGAATTTATGACAAAGAGTGGTCATTGTGTGCATGTACTAAACAATATCACAAATTCTCCACAAATGTGGCTTGTATGGGAGGGTTGCAAGAAAAAAGCCACTCCTCAAGAAAGGCCACATGCAGTCACGACTGAGCTTTGCCAAAACACACCTTGAAGATTGTGAGGCAGATGAGACTAAAATTGAATTATTTTGACCAAACGATATGTCTGGCAGAAATCCAATACAGCTCACCATCCAAATAACAGCATTCTTACAGTAAATCATGGAGGTGGTGATATCCTGTTCTGGGGTGTTTCTCTGCAGCAGGGACTGGAGCACCTTGTCAGGGTGAAAGGAAAAATGGATGGGGCAAAATACTGTCAAATTCTTGAGGAAAATCTGCTGCCCTCTGCCAGAAAGTTGTGAATGGGAAGAAGGTTTACCTTCCAACATGACAATGACCCAAATGACAATGGATTATTTTCCATACCCACTGTAGTACTCTTTCACATTCTGTTTTATGCTTATGATGGTAAGGAAGTATGCGATTTCAGACGTAGCCTGTGACTGGCTTTGTTTCTTAATGAATCTGCTGTTTTGAATGAATGGTTTGAATGAATGATTCAATGACTTGCTCATTAAGACAAGGACTTGCCGCCACCTACTGTCAGTTTTAGTTTCATATTTAAAGTATATCATTTTTTAAATAATTTCATTGTATTGAAAAACTATTTTAAAAACAATCTTATAGTATGGTTTATGCAATTGCAAGTGCAGCGTAAATGCATTTATGCCACCTTTGAGGTGCATTAAAGTCTGTGCAAATAAATCTAAATGGCGCTTCTGTGCCAAATATGGCTTATTTCGATACTGATTTCATTTGATTGGTAACAGCCCTATAGTCTATTATTATTATGGCCCAATCCCAATTCTACCCCTTAGCCCTTCCCCTTTCCCCTACCCCTCCGTTTCGCGCGTTCACGTGAAGGGGTAGGGGTGTCTCAATTCTCTTTTGGTTGGAGGGGTAGGGGTAAGGGGAAGGGCCAGACAGCCCTTCAAACGAAGATTTTTTTCAGGACCACACTTCAAAGGAAGGGGTATGAATTATCTCAGCGTAAACCGGCTTCAGGGGCAACATGGCTGCCCAACTCTATGTACCAATTAAATATAAGAATTTGGCATAAAAGATGACGCATTCATATAAGGACACTATCGAACACTATCATCTAGAAAACTTTCAGAATTTTAGTTTTAATATACTGAATCGAAATTTGATTTCTAAATCGAGAATCGATTTGATCGTGACCCAGAGAATATAACTGAAATTCCCTCTCCTAAGACTTACGCTCCATTTCCTGGCCCAGGTACGAGCACCATCGGTTCCTCATGTCTTCGACAGCCACCATGTCTTTCTCCTCCATCTCATCCACCAGCAGCAGTGGAATACAAGCCACCACCAGCTCATTCATGATGCTCAGACCCGCATTCACTTCAGTCTCCTCGCCTGTCTCAAAGAGGACAGCCGCGTGTTCGTTCAACTTCTGCGAGACACAAAAAGAGCCCACAAAAATCAATGCATAGAAACACGGTAAACACTCGTCCCTTCGACGAAACATCCTCCACATTCGAGACTGTTTTTATTGACATAAAAATCTGACATTCTTTGCTATGCAATTAAACACTCTAAAACTTCAGATGCGGCAGGTAAACACTCTAACCCCTTTCGCCACTCAACTGGAATGAGCGACTAGCTGGAACACGCAAAAGAAAAAACATTGTAGTACATTAGCTATGTCAATGTTAGCAGAATTTTCAATTAAAGCGAGCAGAGGGTAAACAGCACAGCTTGAGATGAAGTCAAGTCCTCTGCAGTGCTCGCAAAAGGTGAAACAAGGACGACGTGCTTCCCGCTAATGTGTTTACGCACTGTATGCTTCCTATTCCAGGACTGATGATTATATTACGAGCACAATGGCCGTGTGGGGGTCACCGGGTACATAGATGGAGAGAACGGCAGTGAATTGCAAAGTCAAAGCAAATGTTTATTACAGTTGATTTACAACAGCAACATATAGAAGCTTCAACTTTCAGATTTTAAACCTAAAGTGAATCCAAATGCCATAAAAGTATGAAAAACGCCCCTTCCCCGAAGCGAAACTTTGACAGGAAATGAAAACAGCATTTTAGACTTGACAGATAAAATGTTCATAATTGTACTTGCAAAAGCACACATATGCAAACTATTGCCCTTAATGCACTCTGTACTGAAATGCTAACCAGATTTGTTCCAGTCATTGGTGTTAGAAACACTGTTTACAGGAAAGCGTGTGCATTGGCATGAATAATACTGGTCTGAGAGCTGTTAGGAGCTCAGTTTGAGCTGGTCGTAGATCCGGGTTAATAGGAGGTGGTTGATTCACTCACTAGCAGGCACTCTCTGCGGTAATGGGCGATCAGCTCCTCATCGTGTCCTCTGTATGGCCCTTTTGCCAGGAGCTCTTTGTTGTACTGATAGGCGAAGATCAGGTACATCAATGCTTCCACATAACTGCAATATAATAAATGAAAAGAGCATATTAATATGGCTTTTTAACTATAATATACACATATAAAAGATAGCTTTGCAATCCTAGAGTTGATCAAATAGAATATGCTGCCATCTAGTGGTGATATTATAGAAAAGGACTCTGGTAAGGGCCGTTTACTCCATTTCATTTGTTTCCATTGTTTTCATGTCCACCTTGAATGAAAAGAAGAGTCAAGAAACAAAAAAACAAAAGCGTCACCTTTTCTTTAGGAATAATTCCAGGCCAATTAACAGAAACACTGTCGTGTCACGGAATTTCCTGTAATCCTGATGCCACATCTGTGCAAAAAAAGTAGGCATTAGATTATTTAAAAAAGACAAAATACAATAAAAAATAAAGCAATTAGAACATGCAAACTGCTTCCTTGATCTCAACATCCCATGATTTGTCCAACCCTGTTGTAAAGCATTTTAGGAAATCCAAGTCTTAGCTTTTGCTGAAATAAATACAATATCCAGCTAAAGGAGCCAATATTGATTATATCAGGAAGAATAAAAGAAAAGGGAGACCTATCTATCTATCTATCTATCTATATATATATATATATATATATATATATATATATATATATATATACAC